ATAGCACAACTCTGAGGAACACAACCGAAATATTCACATCACACCACCAACAGAAGGCATCCAGACAGCCGCAGGCTCAGTCAGAAGGCTGTTCTAAGAGTCAATTAGGTCTCCTGGAAGCATTTTTATGCCTTCAAAATGCTGTTTGCACAGTCATCTCAATGATGTCCCCCAAGGCCAGATGCCACGTGCTGCTGTTAGTGGACTCGATGATCTTGGTGGACTTTTCCACCCATAATGACTCTACCAGCCATGTAGCAGCATCACTCAAAAGCACAGCGCGCTGCTAACGAGCAGGGAAAACACCCAGCAAAACCAGAAATAAAACTCAAGATCTTAACATTCAGTGCTTCATCTTCAATCTCGTAAAGCCATCCCAGCTCCCAGCCCTGCAGCTGCTCTCCCTGCATCAGCTATAGAGTGAAAAAACACACCGATAAAACAGTGCGAGTTAATTTTAATTCACGTCCACGAAGAAAGGAGCTGTGATGCAAAACAGCCACAGGGCTGGCAGATGGAACAGCAGAGTCGGAGGACAGTGCTGTACGGAAACACAGACGTGTGAGCAACGCTCCTGCAGGGACAGCCGTAAGGCAACGTTCACACTGCATTCCCCGAATCCGCGTTTTTTTTCTGTTTGCAATCTCAGCCTCTGAGGAGCAGAAAAGCCGAGTTCACCTCCACGGACACCGACCTGGAAGCTCCACGTGTGGAAGCAGCGCGCAGCCAGGCTGCAACCAAAGCATTCGGCTCCTATCGCTGCGTCCGCATCAGAGCTTCCTCCGGATGCGGCTCCACGCTTTTCATAGCGGCACAGAACCGTTCGGGTTGGAAAAGACCTCTCAGCTCCCCGGGTCCAATCCCAGCCCTCAGAGCCCGCAGCCCGCGGCTCCGGGACACCTGCAAGGACGCTGCCCCCGCTCCACGTGCAGCCGTGCCGCTGCAGCTCCGCTCTTCGGAGATAAAACCGTTCCCAACCGGACCGAAAGCGGCGGAGCGGCGCAGGGCACGGAAAGGCGAAAGAACGGCGGAACAAAAGGAGCCGCGCGGGCGGGAAGCGGAGCCGGCGGATGCTTTGGATTGAAGGAGAGTAAGAAATAATAGCAGTAAAAGGAGGCAAAGCAGAACGCGGCGCTCCGGCAGCAGCCGCGTGCTCCGCTCGCACGGACGCGCTCAGCGCGGAGGTTCCGTTCCGTGACGCGCTGAGGTGGCACCGACCGAGCCTCGAACCCGCGCCCTCGGAGCCGCCCCGCGGACTCACCTGCGCCGCCGCCGCCGCCGGGCCCGGGCCGTTTGTGCGCAGCAGCAGCAGCAGTGCGGCCGCCCCGCCGCGGCGGGCCGCCCCGGGCAGCATGGCGCTGGGAGCCGCACCGGCAGCGGCCCCCGCCGCACCGCGCCGCCCACTGCCCCCGGCCCCGCGCTGCCATGGAGATCAAGAGCGCGTCCCGATTGGTCGCCGGCTTCGATGTGTCGCGGAACGTCATTGGACGGAGGGTGGAGATTGACGGGTGGAGGGCGGGGCGATGCTTTTAACCCCTTCGGGTTCGGGGAACACCCGCAGCGCGCAGCTGGGGCGGGCGGAGCACATCTGGGAGAGAGCGGCCGCCTCTGGCCAGCTGTGCCAGGCGGCTGTGGGGGCTGGGAGCAGCTGGGCTCCGTCATCGCCTGCCTCCCCCACCCCAGGGGCACTGCTGTGCACATCTGGTGTGGCCGCACATCTGGCACATCCGGCACACCTGCACATCCCTGCTCGCCACCTCCCCATGGCCCACATCCTCCTGCAGCACTGCTGTCCTGGCAGTTTTGCTGGGAGGAATGAGAGGGAATGGAGTCTGCACGCTCTGTGCTCAAACCCCACAGATGCACAGCGATTTCCATGAAAAATAGCTGAGCATCTGGGCCTTCTAAGGAGCCTTCTAAGGACAGAGCTGCCTGCTGAATGCTGCCTGCTTCTTATATGTCAGAAATCAGCCATATAGGTGCAAACATTCTAAATGCATTGCCCATCACGCACTGCAGAGAGCCCCAAAATTTGTTCCCAAAAAGTGGGGCTCATTGCCCATCTCCAACGGGGACAAAACAGGCAACCAGTGGGGCTTTGTCACCTCCGAGCATCCCTGAAGCTTCCAGCTGTGAAAATCCCTCCAGGTGCCAAAATCCCTCTCCTGTTTCTCTCCGCAGGTGATAAAGGCCGTGTGCTGCCCACTGTGTCTGGACAGATGATTTATGGCTGAAACACTGCGTCCCATTTCCACTAAGACTGCCTCGATCCATAAAGCAGTGCTTTTTAGATCGCTTTATTGGTTGGGTTTTATGGCTTCAGATCGCTTTATTGATGTTGGTTTGTTTTTTTTCTCGTTCATGGCTTTAAGCTGTGACTCACTCGGATCCATTTGCAGGCTGCAGTCTGCAGCCCCCACACAGTGCCCAGGGAACAAATACGGAAAGGAAGATCAGGAGCTGCACATGGCTACAGCACCAGCACTGCTGCCCTGAGCCATGGGCTGGGATCTGCCTCAGGAACATGGCAGTGCTTTGCTTCCCTCCCTTCACATCCAGCACAATGCTTCTTTTTGACAGATTAAATCCACTCCAAAAAACATCCCTGAATTCAACACGAGCACAATGGTTAAAAGCAAGAAGTGTGTTCCTGATACCTTGGCACTCACTCGGTGTTCTACTCCAATCCCACCTTCCTATTGCTAAGAATGCAAAGAATTTCCCTCTCTGCACAGCTCGTTCCCTGCTCTGGAGCTGCACTCACTGCCTTTGCTGTGTCCTGGCAGCACTGCAGATGTTTTTCTATTTCCTCGAATGCCTCCACAGCAGTTGCACAACAGGACTGTGGGCTCTCAGCTTCCCATGCCCTATAAAAGGCCTTTCTGATCCTAAAGGAAGCACAAGGGAAGGAGTGGGATGCAGCCCTGCCCGGCATCCCTCCTGTCTGGTGCACAGATGGAGCTGAGCTGCTCTTACAAATTGCAACAGGTTTCACTCTGCGTAGGTAGAAAGGATTTGGCAGCTGGCTGTCAAAGCTGGGAGCACTGGACCGGTGCCTTGACTGGGGACTCAGAAATGATATTTCCCCACATCCCACCACCCCGACCCAGCACACAGTGGGATGGATCCCCAGCTGTGAGCATCACTCCAGTCGCATTGCAGCCCGTTGCTGGAATTTGGGGCACAGATGTCTGCCTCTCCCTGCAGCTCAGCACAGAGCCTTCATCAACCCTTCAGGATGATGGTTGGCTCCATCATCCCACCCCTCATCCCATCCCTCATCACATTTCTGCATGTGACAACCAACAGCCGACCTTCCCGCTGCCTGCAGAAGCCATTGTGCTGTATTCATTTCATAGCAAGATTTGTTCCCCAGCTGTGAGAGCACAGGAGCTGCAGCATCCTCGGGGCTCCCGGTGGGTACCAGCCCTCCCTCCCCCCTCCACCACACACCACAGGCACAGTTTTTCCACTCAGAGCAGGAGCTGAGCTCTCCTCTCTCACATTTCTGGGCACCTTCCCGTGCTCCTGGCTCACAGAAAGCTGTCGATGTGGCACGAGGATGTGTGCAGGCTGAGCACTCGGGAACAGCTGAGAGCAAAGCAGAGCCCAGCTCCCTCCTCCCTTCTGGGTTTCCTCTGAAATAAAATAAGAAATAAAGTCCAATATTGCAGGGAGCCTGGCTGCAAGCAGCACACGGAGCTCTGCTGCACAGGGATGCTTGGCACATCTCGTGGCACTGACCCAGGAAATAAATCTCTGCAGGGCACTCAGCACTCTCCGTGCAATGGGGCAGAGCTGTTTGCTGGGGAATTGACTCCTGTTTAATGGCAGGAGGTGCTCAGAGGTTTGCAAAGCAGAGCCCTACACCGTGTGTTGCAGCCATGAATTATCTGCTGGAGCACTTGAGATGTCAGCGAGACAGCAATGATCTCATCTGTGTCTGGAGAGCGGTGCGAGGAGGTGCAGGAGAGGCTCCCAACCATCCTAAAACAAAATACAAACAACCCCCAAATTCCAAATCCTGCTGCCAAAGTGCTGCTCATGTCAGGCTGAGGGTTTCCAGCGCTGAGCCCTGGCCATGAGCTTGAGCACAGAGAGGCTCCCGCACCACTGTGGTTTCAAAACCAAACCTGTGCTGTGCCGAGAGTCCTGAAAAAACACAAGAAGAAAAAATGGGGTCCTGTGCTGGGCCCCACAGGAAGGATCCCATCCTGGCAGCAGATTTTCCCCATTCACAGTGGCTAAAGATCAGCTCCTGGTGCTACCAGAAAGCTATTGGGGGAGGGAAGGGGGGGAAACCATTTTTTGTTGTCAGTTCCCCACATCCTGAGCACATTTGGAAGCAGCACAGCCCCCAGGCCAAGGTCAGGAACAGTGCATGGCAAACATGGGCAGAACAGCAAACACGGCCATGTCCCACATAGGCTCTGTCAATCATTTATTCCCCCAACAGCCTTTTCAGACACAAAGCAGCACCCGGTGCAGTGGGACATCCCTGGGGAAAGGAGAGGGGCACCCATAGGGAGCTGTGGGGCTGTAACACACACTGCTCTCCTCCTGCTCCTGCACATGAATAAGTGCGTATATATATGTGTGTACACACACTGGTATGTGTGTGTATCATACATAGGTACACATGTGTGATTATATGCTTACACATGCACAGCTATATTGGAGTATTTTAGGCACTTCAGTGCACTTTAAATGCACACATTTAGGCAGATATATAAACCTGTTAATTTGAACATAGGATGTAACAAGTATTTCGATATTTCAATATGTATAAATGCATTTATATAACTAAATATCCACATAACAATGTGCACAAAATTTGAGCATATACATACGGGATGTGGGGCACTCAGGGCTCCCCAGCCCACAGTTGGCCACTCCAGCACCAAGACACAACTGACAGAATGGTACCAGCACTCCGAAACCCAACCCCCAACACGTGGCTCACCAAAGCTGTGTGCTCTATGTACAGATATATTACATACCCACACGTGCTCCATGCTCACACCCTGCACATCCCCTCGGCCGAGCATCCTCACTCACCACGCTGCTGAGTTTCACCTTTTTCCACTCAAATTCCGGATCCCATTAGCAGCAGCAGCAGCCCCCAGACCCCTGCCCTTCAATGTCAGCACAGAGGGTGGGTGCAGAGCCCTACAAGGGCTGGGATCTCTCCATAGGGCAGCACCCAGCCTTTGGGTGCTCAGTGCTTCTCCTCCTCACCCGCTTTTATAGCAGCCTGATGGCTCCCATTGGCTCCAGGCACAGTTATTATAGTGACTGCTATGACCCATTTAAATGGTGTTAAATAACTTCTCAGTTCGTTGTCCTGTGGAGAGTAGTTACACACAGGCACATTTTAATGATTAACTCCCGGGCTGTGCTGAGGCACCAGCAAAGAGCTCAGCACTCACGGCTGCCCTCCCTGCACCCGCTGCCACCAGGGCTCTGCATTTCCTATTGCTCCCCATGGGTGCCACCAGCTCAATTCTCCTTACAGGGAGCACTCCAGCTCCCAGTGCCACAGAGAAAGGTGGGAAAAGGGGATGGGAAAAGCCCCAAAAACAGAGAACAAGCAGGAAGACGCTTCAGCAGTGGGATATTTTGGGGCTGGGTTGGTCTATTGAGCCACTCTGGGCTCTTCAAAGCACCCACAGCCACAGAACATAGGGTGGGGTGTTGGGATTGGCTTGGTCTGCGGGTCCCCCAGTGTCACTGTGTGTGGGACGGGGCCCACAGGTGTTTGTGTTGGCAGCAGGAAGGGACAGATTGATAGGAGGAAGCGGTTGAAATCCCTTTGGGTTTCTATGCTTCCTTCTCCTTTCCTTCACCTCCACTGCTTTGTGCCAAAGGGGCTTTAATAGCTGCGTTCCAATGAGGTTTCTAAGGAAATCGGTGAACAATGCAAATGGGGAAAAAGAACCTTTTTGGATGAATTTGAATGGAACAAACAAACAAACACACAAACCACAAAAACAACCACCATGCCTTACAAGGAGAGGAGCCGACTGACGCTCCCTGCCAGTCTGGACCCCCTGGGTTACATGCAGGCAAATCCAATATTCGGGGCTGCTCCCAGCACAGACTGATCAATGCCTGGGGACAGCAAAGTGTCACCTTTTGTTTGAGGACAGCACTGCATGGCTCCAGACAAAACTTTGGGAGAAAACTGACCAAGCTGAGGGAACAGCACCCGAGCTGAGCTTTAATTCTATCTCTTTTAAGAAGAAAAAGCCCAGACCAACTGAGGACCAACACGCCACCCACTGCTGTCCCCAGGGTCTGGTAGTGGAGGAAGGTTTTGGCCCCAGGACCCCTCCATCAGCAGATGGTTTGGGTGTTGTTTTGTGTTTTTTTAATAAATGAATAATGAATTTTTTTGCCTGGCCCTATAGAGAAGCACCAGCTTTTCTTCAGCAGCTCTGTGGGGCTCACACCACGCAGTGGGGAATGGGGGGAAGACTGCCCTTACAGGAGGGTAAAGCATGGGATTCGCAGCAGAGCAGCAGCAGTGCCATCAGTACACTGCCCAGCTGGGAGCAGCCTCGTCCTCTGCTCAAGGAAGAGCAAAAATCCCAAATAAAAGCAGAATGCCTGCCCCATCCTCCCTTCAGATGCTCTCTCACCCCATTGGGCTGGTTTATTTTAACCACCTTCAAACATCACTGGCATCTCTGCTACCCAATAGGTGACTTTTCAAAAACACAAGCTAATAAAATAAAGATCATCAATGCACAAAGAAATTAATTTAAGCTCCACGCACTGGGACACTCACTCATGGCACGTAAAGGTCCTCAGGGTTTAACAAATGTTTCCTAAGCGTTCTCTCCGTTTTAGTTGTGCCTTGGCCAAGGCTCGGATTTTTCAGCGTAAGCATTTCTTCTTGCTCAATAAAACCCTTGCAGTGGGATCACTCACTGTGGGAACACAAAATATTTTCTCCGTCAGCGCCTGCGGTGGTTCCAGCCCTGACCCAGCTGGATAAATCCCAATTGTGCCCCGATCTCTACAGGGCTCATACTGGGAGCCCTCCTCAGGGCAGGAGCAGAGCATCGCTTGTGCTCTGTAAGGGTGTGTTGGGCCCCTCAGAGAACTCCCTGGGCCCCTCCTGGGTGTGGGGGTTGGATGGATCCAAGCTGCTGCTGAAAGATTTTGATGAGCTGTAGCATCCCACAGACAGGCAGCTCCCTGCCTGCCTTGACCCCAAATCCCTTCCCAAAGGGATCCAGGGAAGGACAAGAGAGCTGTGAAGGGTATGGAACATGATGAGGGGAGGCTGAGGGACCTGGGATGGTTCAGTCTGGAGAAAAGGAGGCCTGGGGAGACTTCACTGCTCTCTACAATGCTCTGAAAGGAGGTTGTGGCAAGACGGGGGTTGGCCTCTGCTCCCAACAGCAATAGGACAAGAGGGGATGGTCAGTTGTGCCAGGGGAGGTTCAGGTCAAATATGAAGAAGAACCTCTCAAAAGGAGTGGTAAATTGTTGGTACAGCAGCCCAGGGAGTGGGGGAGTCCCCGCCCCTGGAGGTGTTCCAGAACCATGGAGATGTGGCACTGAAGGATGTGGTCAATGGCCATGGTAGGGTGGGACTTAGTTACTGATTTTCCAACCTTAACAACTGTGTGGTTCTATGAACTCAGTCCCTGACAGTTTTGGGATGCACCACTTTTGTCTCCCTATTGGCTCTGTGAGCTGTGGGCTCTGGCCAGGTTCCTAGAAGAGCAGAGGGAACAAGTCAGTGTTAGAGTGGGGTGCCCATTCTCTCTCCCAGTCCCTGGAGCTCTGCCCTGCTCTCCCCATGTGCCCCTTCCCCCATATCCCCAGCATCACCTCAACCACAGCACACACCTGGGGACCCAAGCTGGGCCCTGCGCTCCCTGTGTGTAGGTCGATGCTCAGGTGGATCAGTGACATTGAGGTCAAGCAGAGCAATGTCCATGTCTGCCAGTCTGGGACCTGTGACATTCAGGTTCCCCGCACCAACATGACCCTGTTACTGCCACTAAACAAATTTAACTGCTCTTTCCCCTGCTGAAGGGGGCACGGGCAGGGCTGGGCAGCCCCATACTCAGACTTGATTTTGTGCCCAAAGCAAAAGCACAGATGTTCTCATTAGAAAATAATCTCATCACACAGTTCAGCTCCATGTTATCTCAGAGACAAGGGACGTGCAGCGTACACAGGACATGCCTTTATGGTAGGGTAATTCTCAGAAACGTGAGGCTGTGAAGTCTGGCACTGCTCTGTTTGTGAAGTCCGTAACTCGGCTGCCTGTAAGGAGAGAGCACCTCAGATACATGAGCACATGGCCACATGGCTGAGGGAAGGGCACAGCCTTGAGGTTGGTGCAAGAGATTTGCTCGTCTATCAGGATGTACAAAAACCACAACAGAACAGGGCTGCCACATCACCAACAGAGAAGGCTTCCAAGCCTTGAGTTTATAAAGAGAGAAACCAAGGCAGACGAAATTCCATGTACTTTGCAGGATCAAAGTAGGAGGATTCTGACAGCTTTCTCCCTTTCTCCTGGAGAAGCGCACGGAGCAGAGCAATGCTGCACCCAGAGCTGTCCATCAGCCAACACTCAAATGCTGAATACAGAACAAACATGTGGAACACACAAGAAACGAGCAGTCTGAAAAAGAACGTGTGCTTCAATATTCAGAAAACAGAGCGCAATCTGTACTTCTGTGCCCAAAACTACCAACTGAACTGCTAAGTCTACTTACATTTTCACGTACACTTGACACATCACTGCGCTGCTCTTTCCACACTGTCATGCCTCTGAGAGAACTAACAGATCACACTGATGGCGTTGGGAAACTCATTAGTTATGAAAACAGAAAGCAGCCCTGGAAGACAGGCAGATCTTGTAAGTAATATATAGGACAGTGGAAAACTGGAATCACATAAACAAGATGACATTTGCTTTCCATCAACCATTTCTGAGTCGGGGGATTCCAAAGAAAGCATCTGAGAATGAGAACCACATCATGAGAACCATTCAGAGAGAAAGCAATTCTTCACCTGTACAATCAGCAGTTTCCAAGATGGAATATCCTTATTAATAGATCCGTCAAAACATTCCTGCTGGCTAAAGATACTTTCAATCTGGTCCCAACTGCTTCTCCTAAGTTTAGAAAATGCTTCGACGACTTAATTTGAGAAAGAGTGCAGATAAAAATGTAAACACTTGCAGCCCAAGGCCATGGAGCATCAAACGTTAATGGTAGCTAAAAGTAAAAATGCTGATTTTAAATTTAATTTCACATAATTCTGTGATACGGTCTATTCATCTCTTTTGGTTCATTTGCACATTTAGGGAGAAAATACAGACATCAATTTATCACAAAGAAGTACTGTGGTCTTTTCCCCCTAGTACTGCACTTAACATTCCCAGTCGAAGCGTACCATCAGGCTCCAGTCTTGGGAAGCCTTTAATGTAAGATAAATCACATTTAGGAGGCAATACAGATATTTTCCAATACCTTCCTTTCCTCTCCAAACATCAAGGCAGCTTAAAATACCAAGGAAATGCGTATCAAAAATCCTGCAAACAGCAGAAGGTATCACTCCCCTTCCTTAAGGCTCAAAGAGGGCAAATTCCTCACTCAGGATCACCAAATAAAACCATGACAGAAGTGGGTGTAAAAGGCAGATAATGTGATTCAAGCTCTTGGATCTTCAGGCCAAAAAAATCCCAGGATGTGCTTCAAACTTTGTTTCTTTTTCCAGTTCATTGTAACAATCACAGAAGAATGGTCTGAGGTACAAAACCAGCACCGGGTGCAACTCATGACTGTGCATATCTACAAAGGGTTTCTTACAATCATCAATGATTTCAATGTTTAATACTTGTTCCTGAAATCTTTAATGAGACAAAGCTCAGTACACAGAAAATCCTCCTCAGACACGACTGATTTTCATTCTTACAAACCAGATTAGGACTTCAGTGTTGACTCATTCATTTATTCCATGGTCAAAGCAAGTGCACAGGATGGGACTTGCTTATACATAAATAATGGAACAAACACTCAAAAGGAAAATGCAGACCCCACTCTTAAATGTCCTTTTGTTTGTATTACTAAGAGCCTTAGCATTACAGTCCAGAGCCTCGGCTGCTGCAAAACTGGTCCAATCCAGCCATGCTGAGGGCAATGCATTCATTTAGCTGATCATCTGCATCTACCACTCATCTGCAGATTGTCCAACATCCCTGAGAACAGCTATCCAACCTACAGATCCTCTCACTCCACGATGCCATCAGCCTACTTTGTGTGTTCCAGACACCAAGCAGTTTCTGTATGTTACTCCACACACAGATCTCTGACAGCAGCCCTACTCCCTAACAGCTCCAAAAGCTGGCTTTGGATTGTAAATCACATTCTGAAAAGCAGTTGGGCAATTCAACATCATCTGAAAGCAATTACAATTATAGTACTGCTGTGATAATTAAAACATTGCCAGCTGTATATTAGCCTACTCAAATGTACAGCTGTTACACGGGTAATGTAAAAAATACAAAAGCTTCCCATTTTGTGCCCTGTAATTTGTCTGCTACATTATGAAGTCAGTCACTATCACCCCTGTACAAGACAATATGCTGGAACAACAGTCTCCTCTTCCATGCCTTCTGGTAAACAACGGGTTCCCTCATCACCTCTGAGTAATAGAAACATTTAATAGATTCTACAACGATGCCCAATACAAGTTGAAACTGGTATCAAGTAAAAACAGGAAAAGATTAACCAATTCTCTGCTGAAATTGCTGCTGGCTTTGGTCTAGATGCCTCCTGCTATTGGCCACCTCTGCCTTCAGTTTCCATCGCTGAGTCCCTCTGCTGTTCTTCTGGATCCCCTGGAAGAATGCTGGCGACTGTCTGGAGAAGAGACTCGATCTGCTCCTCTGTCAGCCTTTCCTCACTTTCTTCTACCATCTGCAGGCCAAAAACAATCCACTGGAGTCATTAAACCCATACTTCTGCCCTCAGCTCCCAACCAAAGGACTAAACTAATTGGGAAACACTATTTTCAATGGATGAAAGACATTGTAGAATGCTTTTGTAATGAGCTCCAACAAAGTGGAACTCTTGGAATTTTCAGAAGAATGAAGAGCTCCACTGTTAACCAGGACAAGCACTCCATAATGAGACCCTGCTTTCTCCAAAACAAGGAAAGCAGCACACTCAACACAACCTTCACTCTCCATTTTCTCCTTAAACCTTTCCCAACCCATTCATCTCTATTTCGACCCAGGCCTTTCATTAGCCCGTCCGCAGAGCTGCCTTCCAAACCTCATTTCCCAAGTTCCTGGGCAAAACCGTGTGTTCTTGTGATAAGTGAAATGAGATAACATGAGACTGCTTACCTGAATCTGGGTATCTCATCCAGCACCTTGAAGGAACACCACAACCTGGAGCAGCCACATGTTCTTAGAACTTACTTTGATTGTGAATTTCCGGAGTATGAAAACGTATAAAAGCTCTGAGCAACACAAAATGTGCTGTCATGAATCACCAATAAAATTCTATAAGATTAATTAGGGACCTACTCTCACTGTGGAGCTGCGGGAACTCTCATATCGCTGCTACCAGTAAAAACAACTGCCCTAATTTATAGGCAGCTGCTAAAAGGAAAAGCTTGTCAGAGGACTGCAGGCATGAGCCAAATGAACTCTTCAAACGCAAATGAAACCAATTAGGACTGCAGGATTTGAGATTTGCTTCTTTTATGCAAAGTCCTTTAAAATGTCCTTTGAAGCGCGGTGATTTGTATTAATTATGGTTCCGAGTCAATGTAGTTTAATCATTTCTAGCTGCAAATTATCAGCCATTCAGATGCATCTTGCCTTCTGAAAAAAAACAGAGTGTATTCAACTACCTTCCCCCCTCCTCTCCATGTCCTGTGACATGCCCTGTGAGTCCTCTCTGCACAGTCGGGTCGTCTTCCAGCAGCCATTACCCACAGCCCCTTGATGAGAGGAAAGCAAGCAGGCTGCAATCCACTCATGTAGCAAAAGGCAGACAAATATCCATTTGCAGATGACTTTCCGGGAGCTGTGCTGATCAAAGGCTGAAATCCTCTATGGAGTGGCTTTCAAACCATGGTTAGCTCAGGAACTGTTGTAGGACCCTGGCTTGAAAAATAGCTTTGGCTCTCATTCCTGTCAGCTGTCACAGTATATATTACAAGTTAAGATATGCTAAGAACACTCCTAGCATTACCTTTCTGCGTAAGCAACTGTTGCAGCTATTGAAGTGGTACCAGATAATGGCCTTCAGGGCTGCTTCTCAGAGTTGATCATGTGGGCAGGTTAACTGGAATACCTTGGAGCATCAACACTACACAACGAAATGTGTTGCAGTGCATAAATACAGTCTTTGTTGCCAATTCTGCTGACACAGCCATTACTCCCCAGATCTATGCTGCTCAGTTTTGTAAAGGGCTGTGAACCTGCTTTTTGGATAGGATTATTACTGTGGTGTTATTAATGACTGCTGCATTCAGCTTTGAAGGTGACAGCACCACAGCAGCAGGAACTGAACAAAGCTAACAAAGAAAAAGCCCACATCACAGAATCATTAAGGTTGGGAAGACCACTAAGATTCCCAACCCCAACCCACCCCCACCATACCTCCAACCAGGTCCCTCAGAGCCACATCTCCACAGTTCTTGAAAATCTCCATGGACATCTTTGAGACAGGTAAAATTGCCTAAGGCTGATTCAACTCTCAGGGTTGAACTGAACTCTCAATGTCTCCTGCACTTGTTATTGCTTCCAGATCTTCAGAAAGCTGGCACCTCACCTGGGTTAGATCGGACTTATTGGGTCATTTGAAGTCTGCCCCTCTTAAGCCCTATTTAAGTTTTATCCCTCCCTGGGTTATCTCCATTCCCTTTCTTTGCCATACACTTCTTATAGAACCAGAGAATCATCAGATCACTTCAGTTGGAAGGGACTCCTAAAGGCCATCTGGTCCCACTCCCTGCAGTGCACACAGACACCCACAGCCCCATCGGTGCTCACAGCCCCTCCAGCCTGACCATGAGTGTCTCCACAGGTGAGGCATCCACCACCTCTCCAGGCAGACATTTCCTGAACCTTTAGGTACTTAACAACTCAAGTTAAACACAAGGCCCTGATCAGAACTTTAACAAATAACAGCAATTGCCAGACCAGCAGCAACCCTTCTCAACTTTGGCACTGATGACAAATTGTACTTACAAGTCTGATCGCTGTTTCTTACATGCTGCTGAGTGCTGAAGAGTAACCCCCCAACTCTTACTATGAACACCCATGTCAGTGTCATTTGAACTGGTTGAACACAAGACTGCAGGACTCAGATGCTGCTTGGGACACTGACTGATGAGCTCTGGTGGCTGTGCTGGCAGCTTAAGAAATCACACCCTGGCAGAAAGTTGATGAAAAGATTAGCCTCCTGTGTTCCAAAATGCATTGGTGCTGTAACTGATGTCTCAGATTGAACTGCTCAAAAAAACTCCTTTAAAATAAGATGCTGGAGGTGATGCATCTCCAAATTCCCTTCTGTTGACAGATTTGTAGCATCTGTCAGAAGGAAGAGGTAATTCCTTCAGTTGCTGCAGCAAATTCACTGCAGGCTCATCTCTCGGTGCCTGAGCTCCATGCATCCTTACTGCCAGCTCTTACACCAGCAACTACTGATAAAGGTCTGTGTTTTGGCAGGATGGACACAGTGCTGATATTTCAGAGCTATTTGGCTGTGATGCTACCCAAAAGTACAAAAGATCAAAAGCACCAGCGACAAAAATCAATTCTTCCAGAGAAACAGCAGGAGAGTTAGGAAAACACAAGCAATAAAGAAGCAGCAAAGCAGCATGCCAAAGAGAAAAACCCAAAAGTTAAGCACAGAGAGTGTGCAGACAAAGAGACAAATGAAACTGCTCTAAAGGAAACCAGAAATCACAGGGGAAGCAGAAGGTGACTCAGATTCAACAGATGTTTGCAGTGTTCACTGATTCGTAACCATGATACCTTTGCTACGGAAAGGACAAGGAAATAAGGTTATGATACTCAGAAGAGAAAACATGCACAAGGGAAAGCAGAAGAGGAGAAAAAAGGAACAACAGTGCTCAACATCTGACTTTTCAGCAAGAATTTTACCAATACAGGAAAAAATATGCATGAAAAAGCCCTGCTAACCTCTAGCTTGCAATTGCCTGAAACTGCTCAAGCAACAGATTCAGACTGTAAGCAGTCAGGAATGCACAGTTTATACTAGGGAAAACAAAAATGCAAATGTTTTTAGTAAGTGGGTGATGTAAGATGTTTATGTTGGCAGTGCCACACAAGGCAAATGGAAATGGTGCCACGTGCAAACGGTGGAGGATCATCCCCAAAGCTCTGAATTCAAATCTACTGAAACACTGGATTCTTGATATTCAGACAACTAACAGCATTGGGCAATGTTACAGTGCCACAGTTTATAGGCAAAAGCATCCTCATGTGCAGCAAGACAAGCATGTCCTTCCAGAGGGCTGAGAACAAACTTTTCTTGACACGAACACAAGAGAAAGGCAGTTGGCCACGTTATCTGTGCTGCTTCTTGTCATAAATAAATCCCATGTCATCACTCCTTCAGCATTCAAGTTTATGCTACTCCAAAATAACTAGTGTAGGCTGTTTTAGCAAATATTATAGCCTATCAACCCTAACTGTAAATACATACAGTATGAATTTGGTATGAAATGCAACTGTGTGGTTAAATTCAACTCAGGCTTCAATAGTAACTTCAGTGTCTGTAACAGTTCATTCTAATTGCAATCTCATCATGCAGTAAAAAATTTTCATTTTCCCCTCAGCTAACACTCTAACCAATATGATGTATAAGACCAAAGAAGGAAACAAGGACATGTGGTAACGTAATTGGTACAAAATGCTTACTGATTAAATAAATGGAATCACATGCACCCTGCAGGTAGTGGGCACTTTTCAACCCTGAGCACCTAAAGTTACATTTCTTACTTTCTTATTAAAAATGTGTCAGGACGGAGGAATATATACAGATTCCTGGTAACAGCTGAAGCTGCTGTACTGCTCAGCTCTGAGTGCTGCTATCTTTACTTAGAAGCTTATTCCTCAGTACTTCTCCTGCTCAAAGCACATCAGTAAGCCACAGCTATCAGATTGGTTTCAAGTGCCTGAGAGGCCCAACAGACTTACGAGGACTTGAAGCTCAACTGCTCAAAAACAGGCAAATGTTTACTAACTGGAAAGTGCATCCAAAAGACAGCAACCACCCCTGCTTCATCTTCCACCCCCCCAGCATCCGTGAGCAGTCAGTATCAAACTCTACCAAACTCTTCTCCCACAGACTGGGCTTTCTGAGAGCCCATCGCAGCACCTCTCACTACCCACCAATTCCATTCCTCTTCTCCACACACATCTGCATGCACAGATTTTCTGTGCAGCAAAACAAAACACGCGCTCATCATCCATCACTCAACTCTTGTTACGAGAGAATGGAAAGGCAAATCATTCATCAGCTGCAGAATTAAGCTGTGGCAGATGCCTCTCTCAGCAATGTAACCGCTACTGGGAACCAGAGCTGCATTCATTAAACAAACGCGTATGTGGGATATTTTACTACCATGCAGCCTTTCCCAGCTGCACAATTTCATAGTAGTTTTCTTTTCTTCTTCTTTTTTTTTTTTTTTAATACAGTACTATGTATAAATTTCTCAGAGGCACAAAACAACCTCAGTTTCCAAATCAGAAGACTAACAGAATTAAATTAAGGCGTTGAGCCCCGTCGCAATGTGCTGCTAAGGCCTCGTGGCAAGAAGTGAACTGCAGAAGGTTTTACAGAAACCAGAAAATAACCCCTAATATCAAGGCAATTTCAGACATCAGCGATGGCTTTGCTGTTCAGAACATAAACATCAGAACGAAAATCTTTGTGCTCATGTGCACGTATGAGCACACAGTAAGGACACAGACGTACACGTACTTGTATAGATTTATTTATCAAACATTTACTCTCTATCAAACATCTTAGGGACGTGCTATCACTAACTATAATTGTACCTCATCTTTTCTGCTAACCAAAGTATCGTCAACCTATAAGAAACCCCATCCTCACTGTGCTTATTTGAAGCTTTCAAATGCAGGTCTCCTTCCTTCAGCCTCCCAGGATAAGGCAATGTGCTGCAAATACTGGAGAATGATTAGAGGCACATACCAAAGGACTCTAAGAAAGTTCTGGAAGAACAGAGAATCTCCCAAGATAAGCAATATTTGATGGGTAACAAAACTTAGCCGTGCCCAACAGAACAGCCTTTGGGTTAAAAGCTATTTTTATTTGAATAATAATCGAAGAATTCTATTTAAAAACTCACAAATCAGTAAACCATAACTAAAAAGGAAATAGGAATCTAATCACTTTCAAAGCTATCAAGCACATAATTCACCTCCAGTATAGAAGGTATGACTTTATGAGAAAGTGGCTGCTATTTTCTACCTTAGCAGTAATTCCAAGTAGTTCAGCACCAACATGGTAACAGAAAAAAGAACATAAAAAAAAAGAGGTAAAAGAGTGAATGGTTGAACCAATGTTCCTCAGAGATAAGTGACCAACTATGCAAAGTGGGAAGCAAAAGATATTGTTGAGAAAATGAACTGTCTCAATTCTCTAACATCTTCCATTTTCCAGCAGAGTACATTGCATTATTATTTCCTGTTAAATAATAAAAGACAATCGTGTGTGCTCTGTGCAACCACTCTGACATCAAGAGGTACAAACCTCTCCGGGATGGAAAACTTGTTTTAAAAAGCACAGAATTAAAGTCCATTTTTCCATTGAGAGAGAAGAATGTGGAGCAATTTGGTCATTAGAAGATGTTTAATCTACAAACCCATTAAGTGTCATGGTTAGATCAACACCACCAGCTTTTCTTCTACTCTGTGAATCACTGAGCTGGGAACAACATATGTTATAGATTCAAGCAGGAGGTCAAGATAGCTGTGATGTGTACAGTGTTTTACCCAGTGGGATATGAATTAGAATTTCATGCTCCTTTTCTTGCTATTGTTGTTTGGAAATAAATCCTGGCACGCAGGCCAGAAGAGGCAAATAGGAACAATGCAGCAATTTATGTAAAAACAATTATGAAAGAACTCGACAGCAAAACATGGTAACAAATTTTCTCGTTAACATAACTATCCCATCAGCTGTTAAAAGCACGTCAGGTAAATCTGACTCCATTCCATGCACAGGCAACCACGAACACAAGTTTGAGGCAGCAATGGAGCGATGGGGATGGGCAGTGGAGTGACAGGAATGTGGCTCATTTGGTATTTGAAAACTGGCTTTAGAGAAAAACAAACGGATTTGCCTCCACTGTACGAAATGGTCAGAAATTTCTGGTTTTATATCCAGCGAGGGGCTCCAAGCTCTTGAGTGACAGGGCCTGGTTCAATGAGAAGAGAATCAATTTTACACCTGGCACTCACAGCTCTGCATGCTGCCTCATCCATCGATCGCAGTGAATCGACTCGCCAGCATGAAATCCAAGCATGGGTAATCTGCTCCCTGCTGACATCAAAGAACAGTGCTGGTAAGCCTCCACAGCTCGCTGTTACCACATGTTCAAAGATGCTCTGAGAACAGAGGTTTTCTACGTTCAAAGACATTGCACTGCCACAATTTCTTTCCCCTGCCCTCACCAGAAAACAAATGATTCATCGCAGCAATCCAAAGTCACAATCATTTCCTTGCTATGGCTGCTAGGCTCAGTGCCTTGCAGCTTCCTAGCAGTTATTTTGTACTCAAAAGACTCTGATGGGCTTTGATGAAAGAGTTATGAACTGCAATTTGGGGGATAATTTAACACAGTGTTAACCAGTCGATCTAGTCTACTGTAATCCTAGTTTTTAGAGAAACCTGCACTGGAAATTACAGGGGTACAGTAATGTAACAGAAGTAACTGCCTTTCCAACACCTCTGTGCCTTTACAAACTCAGATCAGTGCCCAAATGCACCCACATTACAGTTTCCACAAGTTACTTTTGATCATCTGAGAATGGTTACACATCAGGAACAAGCTCAAATTGAACTCCAATCCCTTATATCTATATTCTGTAAGCTTTAGCAATGAGCTTTGCCTCTCTTTAGATATTTCTTCTACTATAAAGCTCCATTTTTTTTGTGCTTGCCTCCTGGACTTCAACAGCAACGCTAATTTCTATACCTCACTGATAGGTAAGAATTGGGAAGTGAAGGCAGGAGGAAAAAGGGACAAAAATGCAGGTACCTGCAAGCCACTAAAAGATCACCGCATTTCAGGAAGGCAAAAAACAAAACAAAACAAAACAAAGAGACAGGATACTGCCCAGACAGCCATAAAATGGATCCACGTCTAAAGCACGTGAAGTGAACAGAGCTATGAGAGAGGCTCAACGCCACTGCTTACAAGCAACTTCCTAGGCACAACTCAGGAAGGTCTGACACTCTTGGTTGGGTTGATGACAAGACTGACACTGATCTCTTCAATAACAGAAGGCAGAACGAATTCCTCCACTGGAAGCATTGTGGAATGAGATGCCCTCAGCACTGCAGTGTCTGCTCCACGATACAAAAGAAACACAGCCCTGCTGGTATCTCCTCAAACCTTCCCTTTTTTTCAGCAAAATATGATCCTGTTACCACGCAATTGGTTTCAGGATATGATTATAAGCAGATGTTCTGAATGTAAGAGATCTTCATTAAAATATCTTTATCATAATAATTTCTTTATGATGAGATTTTGCATCCCCCAAAGAGACACTTCAGAGAACACAGTCCATCCATTTCCACTTAGCAGCAATCCTTCTTTACAACCGAATCATGCTTAACAGACTGATGATAGCTACTTTCCATTCGAAGGTTGTCTCATACCCATTTCTCATTCTGCACAACTGCTCACATACCATATCCATCATTGCTCCTTCCTTTTCAGTGCGCTTGGTTTTACCCTAAGATACAACCCTGTCATAAAAGCAATCGTGTCACGACAGCTGTCAAGAAGCAAAGTCCCTGATTATAGAGCAGCAACGAAGACTTGGGTAAATACAGTCTTACAGCACTGTAATCAACTGTTAATGATTCTGTTGGGCATTTTCAATATGACACTGAAGCAAACATAGGGGTGGAGAATCTGTCCAAGAGAAAGATGGGCGAGTCTCTATGGGAAGACTCCCAGAGGAAGCGGAGGGGATTAGGAACCATGAATGTAAAGAAGCATATAAAGGGATGTATTCAATCACCGACCATGAGAAAGTAATTACTCAACTGATCTTCAAGGTTAAAGCTGCTTCCATTTAAGCTCTGAACAGTCAGGAGCATTGTTACTTACCAGCTGTATTTCAACTGCTGTCACAGGCCTGTGGTTCAGCAACTGCAGCTTTTCAGCCCTGTGTGCAAAGTGCCAAACAATCCGTGTTACCATACAATTTGAGGGTCCCCCGAAACGACTCTTAAGATACAAACACATTCCTGATAATTTAAGGATGAAAAGCCCACTGCTGAGGGTAATTGTGACACAGTTTGTGGTGTGGTTTCGTACCTTAATTGCCACGACAATTTGGGCGTTTTAAGTACAGTCATTCCTTGTGTCTAGACACATTGTTGTTGCCACCTAGGTCTAATTTAGCAAGGCACAAGCCCTTAGATCACATACTTGCCAGTGCAATCTCTAATAAACACAGTTACTTTGTTAATTGCTCTGCAACAATGCTGAACAACTTGTCAAAGTCACAGCAGCTTTCTCTATAACAAATGACCACAAGAACGATTATCATACTTAAGAAGTCACAACGCGGCAGCCAAATGGCAATAATTTATTTATTCCTTTAGCACAATGAAATTGCAAAGGTGAAAAAAAAAGAAGCTTGTAACCACATGGCCACTTGTGCTGTCTGCAACCCACAAAGCTCAGGCCTTTTTCTTCTGCTATTACAATGGGCAAAGGCCAATACTTCTGCACTTATGCCTCTGGACAGAAGCATAGGGGGGAAAAAAAGTCAGTAAAAAATCAGTTTGACATTGGTATTTAAACACAAAATGCTGTAATACTCAGGGATAGAGCTGAGCACCACTGAAACCAGCAGCAGAACTCCTGGTACCATCCAGAATCACCATTATGTTCATTCAGCCCCACTGTTTTCTGGCTTCTTTTTGGCCAAACAGCCATTAACTCTGCTTCTGCATCAAGGAACCTCATGAATATCATCTGAAACATCCTGGTCATTAAAAACAGGAAAAAACAGGTACAAGGGAGAACATGCCAGTGGCCTTTAAATTGATTTGTTTTTTTGGGGGGAGCAGAAGGAGCAGGAAGGGAGGATGAAGATGTGAACAAACAAGTATTTGCATACAATTCAAACCACATTTGAGCAACAGTTCCAAATTGCTCACTTTACACCCTACTGAAATAGAAATCATCCCAACAGCAAAGAAAAAAAAGAAAGAAAAGAAAAAACAACTGACATACGCCAGCATTGCATATTTCATTAATTTCAGATCACATTAACATTGATCACAGAATAGCAGCCTGGGCAACAACCTGGTTTTTGTGTTTCAGAGCAGAAAAACACAACATAGCATTGCTTAAGATATAACAGATGGTTAAAAGGATATATGAAACCATACCAAAGGCACTTCATGATAAAAATACAGGTACAGCACGTAGATAAAGAAGTAAAGAGACCTGAACAAGTACATTTTTGAAATAATCATTACTGATTATTACTCAGCTGCTAGGAGGGAATATACCCTATGTTTACACAGTACCTCTTTATCACATACGTTTGTGTTAAAGAGAAGAGGTGCAGTTGACACAAACTGCAGTTGTGAAGAGCTAAAACCCCAAATTTACCATTATTCAAAGGGCATCCTTAATGCATGCTTACAGAAAAGTCTCCCTGTGATTTATTGGACCTGTGGGTGGTTTTGAAAGGAAACCTTGCAGCTCTCAGGAGAGCACAGAGGCTGTAATCCCCAGCCCTGGGCTTTATGAGCAGCAGGTCAGTGCCTATGTGTCTGCAGACACTTCAGAGACTGCCTCACTGCACACAGCCTCTGGCACCAGCTGCCTCTAAAAGCCAACACCAGCAACAGCTTCTAACATTGTAAGGACCTGGATAATCCACCATTCACACATGAGCACCAGGAAACTTTCCCAGACCACGGTGTTCACACTCATCAGGAGGATTCCATGACATTGACATTGCTCTGGTGACTACACTGAACACAGAGCTTCCAAAGGCCATCAGCTGATTCCCAAAAAGAACAAGGCCCTTCATGTACCCATCCAACTGAGTGATTCTAACAGCCCTGTTTCACCCACCTGGCCATAACAACATGGTGGTGAGAATGCCATTCCAGAGAAAAACCACCCATTAAATTAGTTCCCAGAGTTTGCCTGGACCTACTTGTGTGTCTTCTACAACATCACAAAGGCCACTAAGCCCATTTTATAGATCGAGAGGCTACAATTAATGGTAAGCACTGTATAGGAGGTGGGCTTTGTCAGTGTAAGACAGTATATGGCAGCAGACATTGCTGTATGCTGAAGGCACCATTAAATAGTGGAGAAAAGGACCGTGTGGGTATGGACTGCAGCCAGGCCTCCTCCTTCTCTCTGGGACTTTGCACTGCTCTGAAAGAGATCTGTTCTTCCATTCAGGAAACAAAAGGCACATCCATCCAAGTAGCTGAAACATAAGACAGTAGGGAGAAGGTCCTTTGTGTCAACTCTTATAAATCAGTGTGTCAAGGGCAATTCCTACTGCAGCAACTGCATTCTCTCTTCCCTTCTGCAGAATAACTGCTTACATTTTCTTCCTTCTTCTGTTAACAAACCTGTTGGCAGTGCAGGATTTAGTCTGAAAGCTGTGGATATACAGACCACACAAAGGGAACAGAATTAGCTTGGTGACCCCAAGCTATGAGTTTGCTTTGGTTTTGGAGAGTCAAGGATGAAAGCCAAATACCCTTCCATTGGTAGGAAGCAGTGAATGAGCTGCCTTTGTTTCCCCTTCCTAATCACTTGTATGTATTTACTTAGCAGCTTTGTATTTACAAGAGACTATGCTGTGTTGGCTGCCTTAGTGTCAAAACCAAAATATTAATTGCTGCTGCAACTTACTGCTGTCAAAAGCAAGGAAAGGAAGAAATAAAATCTTAACACAGATTTGAGACAAGCACTGAAAACCCTTAAGATTTGTAACAGATCATTTCAGAAATCAGTAAGAGGAAAAAAAAAAAACACCCAAAAACCTACCCACATCAAATTGTAACAAAAGATATCACCTCCCATAAAAGCAGAAGTCCTAACAAAACTGGGTAAAGAATATTAACAACATCTAAACACAAAGAACCTGTCTCATTCACCTGAATAAATGTATGAAACACTTACTGCTTTTTCCTCAAGAGCCAGGAAACTGCGTGGTTCAGTGCCTGCAGCACTTGATGGAGACACAGAAGCTGGTGTTCTGCTCCTGGCCTGCCACGTTGTTTGCTTTACAGGACCTGGCCAAGCACACGTCTGTGCCTCAGTCTTTTGCTGACAAAATGTCAGAACTAAAGAATCAGGATCAAATAACTGAAGTCACAGCATGTCTCTGCTAAGAAACGCAAACTTCACTTATCCAGAGGCATTTTACAACAGGTAGAGCTCCATCTTGTTTATTACAGTGAGATTACTGGCAGAGCAGGCAACAGCGGAAATGAATTAAAAGCAATTATACAACATGACTGAAACAATCAATTAGTGAAACTGCTCTTACTTCCTGAAGACAAGAAATGCAGCAGAGAGTAAAAGGTCACCTCCCAAAGGTTTACTTGCTTATAAGCCATTAACATTATTATAAATTATTAGGAAATAGGCAGAAGTTACACGGACAGGGCAAACCGATCGCAGCAGCACTACATCAGCAAAGACTGCATGGGTCAGAATATTCCCAGTTTGCAAAACATACACAAAAGAATGAAAGCTAATTTGCAAGTAATTAAAACGTTTTATCTGAAAAACTTCATGCCTGTTTTGGATCTGCAAAGCTCCCCACTGGAAAAAAGACTCAGAACATCAAAAAGGAATTAGCAGCAGGGTGCGCAGAACCAAACGCGACATAAATGACATCTTGCTTCTGAAGGTGCTTGAGTAAGGTTGCAGGGTTTTAGAAACTACAAACACTAATTAATGCTGAAAAGTAACAACCTTTAGGCATATTAACACTATCTGATGATGATATAAGCAATGTATTTGCTTTATTTATAGAGAGCCCGAACATGGTGACACAGAAACGACCATCTGGAAACTGGTACCCAGCCACAGAGCTGCTGATCAATCCAAACATCATTCTGATAAGGATGGTTTAAATGAACATGGACATTATTTTATTCTGGCAAAAGACTTTTAAGGTGACAAAGAGATAGCAGACTGCAAATGAAGTCATAAGGACAAGCACACTGATATTAGTGTGGCACACCAGCTACCAGCACGGGTAGATGTTTTTGTGCCAGTCTGCAATAAAGATCAATAACATCTTCTATTTTCTGTTCAGTAAATATCTATCTGCTAAGATTGCTTAGGAAACACCAAGCACATGTGTACAGGACATCAATATGACTTCTGCTTCCTTGGGAGGTCCATGGCAGCAGCACAGAAATTTGCTCCAAGCACACACGTCATCTGAGCTCACCTTTGGGGATCCTTCTGAAGCTTTGCTCCCAACCCCTCTTCCTGTGTGCACTTTCTGATCTTCCCCTCACATAATAAACACACTGACCAGAAGGGCACCCTCAGTGTACTCTTACAGCAAACACAAAACACCTCTGTTTCTCCACAAGACTGCAATCCTCAGCCCCTGCCATTAACAGCAAGCACTGTATTGCTCCATGCAATGCTAGCTGAAGCTCGGCACCCACTGCACTTATTTTGCTTGATGCTGATATCAAAAACTGACCTCTGTGCACCACTCATTTCTTGATAGCACGTACATAACATGGATACTCACCTCCAGCAGAAATAAGCTCCAAGGAAGTCAAACACTGCAAGCTTGCACACGCACCAGTGTCAGTGCTGACTGCAGCATTTTGCATGGGCACAAGCAGAACATGCCTGAATTTAGCTCATGCTTCATTACATCTAAAAAATGCAAGGAACTTTTTCCAATGCAGATGAATCTACCTCTTCGCTTTGTACAGCAACCATATTTACACTCACGCTCATTAAACAGAAAGAAGAAAGTTTCCTTCATCTAAAGAGAAAGTGAGAAGTATTTCCAGCACAATTTCCCACGAAAGGTGTGTCTCTGTATCTCCTGAACTGTCTGGATTTTACTAACTCTGTTTGGAACACGCAAGCTGCTTGTTCAGGAGAAGGAATACATACAGAAGATGAGTGACAGCT